CACAGACAGAATATGTGAATTTTTACCTTGACCTTTTGACCACAAAATCAATAGGGGTCTCAAAGGGAGTTGTGGTATAAAATTTCATTGCAAAAGCTCAAATTCTTCTCGAGATATCGCCCAGAAACGAAAGTTACATTCAGACAAAATATATGAATTTATGACTTTGACCTTTGGACATCAAAACCAATAGAGGTCTTTTTAGGCCATAAAGATTGTGATATAAAATTTCATTGCAAAAGTTCAAAGATTTTTTAAGATATCATCCAGAATCGAAAGCGTCACACACAACCAGAATGTATGAATTTATGACCATGACCTCTGATCTTTTGACCTAAAAATCGATAGGGGCCTTCTTTACGTCATATGGAAATGTGATATTAAATTTTATTGAAGAAAGCTGAATGGCTTCTTTAGATATCATTTGGAAATGAAAGTGTTACACGTAGACAGAATGTAGGTATTTATGACTTTTGACCTCAAAATCAATAGAGGTCTTCTTTAGTGGGAGTTGTGATATAAAATTTCAATGCACAAGCTCAAAGGTTTCCTGAGATACCGACCGGAAACGAATGTGTTACACACAGCAATACAGGCAGATGGACGGACAAACCCTTATTATTATCCCTCACTTCAGTGAAAAAATAACACTCAATCAAAGAAGAATCAGCATTTGTGCTTTATAGTTTTAATATATATATAATACAAGAGTTCATTAATATTTTGCTTTCTCAATTTGTTAATATGAGTAACCTAACTGTATATATGATTTCCCATCTTTTACATGTACAGGTAATGAATCACGAAAAGACGGAGAGTAAATACATATCGTGACTTAAAAGATTTCTCTTCTGTTCAAAACATTCCTGTGATTCACGAATACCATTCTCTCCGTTTATTTTTATTGACCAGTACCGACAGTACGTGAATCATATCCTATACAACTTGTATTCTAATCCAGGAGAAATGTTTTCTGATTACTGTGTCTAATCCAAAAGAAATGTTTTTGAATACTTTACTTCCGGGAAATCCATCACTGACATCTCAAGATTTACAGCCACGGCAATGAATTGTTCCGTACTTGTATACTCAATATCTTGAAACACTAAGAAATATCAAATGTAAATTGTTGAGAATAAATCAAGAATTTAAAACTGTGGCTTTAATTTTGACCATTTCTTAGTAAGGAAATAGTTACCACGAGGAGAGATTTGCTCCTGATATTAGATAACATTAAACTTGTATTAATTCCATACTATATACGTGCATTATAATTATAAAAAAAATAATATTATTATAAACAAGCCAATACATGTATATTAAATTCATTTATTAGGATGTAAATAAGTTTATGATTTTGAAAAACAGAAGGGTTGAGGATGCTTTAAATGAATAGAAAGAACTGTAAAATGTGATCCAAATATTTTCACATTAGATATATATATATTATGTAAAGTAATAGAAATGTAATCTGTAGTATTTTGTTAGGATATATTTGGTTTGCTGAGATAAGCCTAGACATTTACTGAAATGTGCAACAGTAATGAGTATAACCATGTATTTGATGAAATTAGACATTCGCCAGTAATTGATTTTAAACTTGACCAAATAAAATACGGAAAAAAAACCAAATGTGGTCTTCAGTGAGGTTGACTAAAAGAATTATAGTTGTTTGCAATGTTCCTATCCAGAAAATATTTCTTCATTTTTATTTTTTGAAACACCTGGTAGAAACCTACGCAACCAGAAAATTGAGAAAAAAAATCGATTTAATGGCATCGGTGGAAAACTTTAAAGAACTACATGTACTGTAAAAGGTCGACTTTGAAATATGTTTTTTTTTTTACCTGTAATAGTTTGTTTTAGTTCAATCAATTTGATTAATGTTTTCATGATGTCATGTATATTTTTCTGATTCTAAGAATTTGTTATGGACGATTTCGTTTCAATTATATTGTTATGTGCTACTTAAAATGCTCTTCAAAAATTTTAAGTTGTAAATATGTATGTAAACCTCTTTATCACTTTCTGTTAAATTGTGCAAAGCAATAGGAGTCCAATATGGATGACTTTTTTTTAGTTTAAAGGTTCGCTTTTTACAGGTAAATTAGGTTACGGCTCAAAATAGAACATGTCGCTGACGCACTTTCTTTTTAAGGTAAACATATGAATAAGGCCACCCTGATTTTTTTTCCTGAGTACTTTTAATGAGCTCGTCTGAATTTCCGGAAAAGAACACAGAGTAAATGATGAATCTAGAGTAGCAATTAAATAAAGAAATATATCTAGTGAAGTATATATATCTGCTTCATTTTTAAAATTCTAAAACGTCTGATCTTGACCAAATTGCATATTTCTCCCTGAAAATATATAATGTGCTTTAGATGGATATTTTCAACATCTTTGTCAAAATTATCAAAGTGTACCTTCAAACTCAATGAAAATACCCTTTACTTTGTAGTGTCAATGATGTCAGTTGCTTTCACCTGAAAACGACACAAAAACATTACGTAGAAGTATCTTTCAAATGATAACCTTCAGTCCGCTTCATAATATACAATGTTGTAATAGTGTTACATTAATAATGTAATTGCAATGGTGAAATCAGCAAAATTCATCTTGATTGTTAACCTTCATTCTCCATTCCATATTTAGCCAAAGAGTTATATTATTACACATGTTTCCTGGATTTCCTCTCTGAATATCGTCGAAAAGGGCAAAGATAAGCTTTGCACACTTAATTGTTATGTGGCTGGTATTATTTTGATTTTATAGTTGATGTCGTTATATGACTGGTATTGATCGAGTACCCCCTTCTTGGAAGAGGTAAAACACCGCTATTAAAAAAAGGTTTGATATCCAGTGATGCGAAATTTTGTACTACAAGTGTAAAAATCTTCAATACTTTCTTGTTTTGCGGTAATCCTTCCACATAAAAAATTAAGTAATCATAAACCCTCAGCCGATCCAAAGCGTTTCCTATCCACCACAATTAATTAGCATAGGTTGCACTACTGATGAAAAAAATATTTATGGGCATCATTTATGCTTTTTTATCCATTTGATACCCGTATTTATTTACCGGCACAATTTAATAAACAATTAATTAACGTATAACCAGAAAAAGTGCTGATAGAGTATATGAGGCATATATATATATATATATAGAGAGAGAGAGAGAGAGAGAAAGTATGAGGCATATATATATATATATATATATATATATATATATATATATTGGAAGATATTTTGTATTAAAGTCACCAAAAGACAAGTAAACTAACAAAACAAAAGGAGAGAAAAGAATAATAACAAGAACTCAAAGTTGTGAATGCTGATTTAAATATGTTAATCAATGTGTTATTTAATAAATTATGAGAAGCACGAGTGACCAAGATTGTTTGCGACAATAATTAAAACAAGATTCGTTTATATTTGAAATAAATTTATCAATTTCGAGCAAAACATAAACCTATATGATAAGGGGTTAACAAAAAATACAAGGCGTCGAATTACTACATACATGAACAAGTGCACAGAGAAGTTTACTGGGTGTATATGCGTAAATCTGGGAGGTAAAGCGTAGACAACACGTATAGTTTACGTAGATTGTTATGTATTCCTCGTTTGTTTTGATTTTCATGAAGTGGGCGGAGCGCAGCCCAATTTTTAACCTGTATGGGTTAGTTGCATTAATTAGGAAAAAAAAATGGTTAATTATAATTTATTACAGAACACGCTTTGAGGAGTTGCATGTACATTCCACCGGCCAAACTGTTTGTCAAAATCTCAAAGTTCATATCCACCGAACAACTGTCATTATTATTTTTATATCTGAACAATGTGCTTAGATATACTACACATTAGTATCATAATTTGATAACAATGTGCTTAGATATACTATACATTAGTATCATAATTTGATAACATTTCTTGGATTCATAACAACCTATTCTTACCCCAATCTTTGTGTAGACCTTTTTATTTCAAGGTACTACAAACCAAAACCACTAAAATAAACCATATACATAATAAAAAAAAACATCTGGTGTGCAGATATCTGTCACATACCACAACAATTTCAGATGCACCTGCCAGCATTTAATGAAATGCACACCAATTTCAAAAATATTACAAGAATGTAAATGTTCCATCTTTTATGATCATGAGATTCTTCGTGCAGAAATTTGACAGAAAATGTGAAAATGTCGTAACTATCCTGAATGATCTGTACGGAAAAAATCTTAAAATATGTTAATACCTCAATTAGAAGAGATTTATCAACAGCGAAGGACGTTTGGAATTATACAATGTCTGGTAAACAAAATACATGTACACATACTGATGTAGACCCTGTTGAAGTTAAAATGCGTTCATCAACCTATTTACAGCCGTTTTAGTGCATCTTTATTACAAGAAAGGCCAATAAATTTCTTTGCAACAGTAAAATAATGATCAAAATACACGTTTTCCCTTTTTAGCACAAGAAAAACTTTCTTCATATCATACAAAAATGAAAAATTTTTGTTTCCTCTTCGCAAACGTCATGTCTGACCTTCGATTAAGGCCAACAAATCAGAAAAAAAATAATAACAAATTTGTCAATGTAACCAATACACTTCCAAAGAAAAAGTTTTCAATAATTCAGCAATACAAAAACTACACATATTAATTGATGACTAAACTAGATGATTCTTGTGGTGCAATATAGTAACATTTCATGTAAATTACTCACTTAATGTACCAGTAATAAACTTGAATCATAGTTTCACCCGCAAGAGGATGGCGCAATGAATCCATGTATAATATAACTCAAGGAAACATTAAATCCGATTCCCTCATCACAGTGCGGTTAAAAGTCGCATGTTTTACCTATCTATTTTCTTTAATAATACATAAAGTTTTTGAAAAGAGATATTTATGCCCCATGCTTGTAATGGTATGTTTAAGTGCCAATATAAGCCATTACTTTAATGAAATCGACACCAGTGTTGTAATTATCATAAGCGTGGCAGAAATACAGTAAGAGATATATATAAACAGATCATCGGTTCCAGTTCACGCACTTGGTCATATCAAAATCCCACCTTTCAATATTTTTTTTATTCAACTCGGAGGTGATAGGTTAACTTCCGGAAACATTAATTATAATCTCCGAGCTTCCCGCGCGCAAAATCCCCTGTCATTTTAGGTATATATACACCAAAACCGGGTGAAAAAATTATGAAACAAATATTCAATACGAACCTTCAAGGACTTCGCTGATTACGGTAGATTGTGCTTGTTTTATTGTTGTTAAAGAGAAGAGCTGGGTGAAACGACATATTTTAGATAAGGTGAATTTAAATCAACATGGAGCGCAGAGTAAAATATCTACTTGTGGTTATCTTTGCCTCACTGGTAAGTTATTGTACTGCGTGATTAACAAATATTTATTCAGAAGCCTACGGTAATTACTTCTTTATGTATATTCTGATGCATTTGAGTTTATTTTTGATAATAAATAAGTTTCTCTCTTATGATACAAGAGTTAGGCATAAAGTACATAAAAGTGTTGACAAATATTTCTGAGAACAAGGTTATGTCAATATTGTGTTGATTATAGATGTTCTACCGAATGAGTACAATGACGAATTTCAATACGAGATTGGTGTTTAAATGACCTCGATTGCAGCAATTATATGTAATCGATTCATTTTCAAAAGTCTTTTTTTTATATTCTTTAGGCAATTGGAGCTACCCAAATTTCAGGTACGTATACAACACATCCATGGGTCAGCAGGAAAATAAATGCTATCTTCAAAATTGACCATTTGTCATATATGATCAACAATGACAACCAATTTAAAATATCTTTTAACTTTCGTTTTCAATGCAAAATAAAGTCACAAAAGAACGATAAGGTAGTCCATAAATACTGTTATTCAAACAAACATATAACAGGTAAACGTTGGCTACCGTAGATTGTTTTCATATACCTGTTGCTCGTCAAAAACAGAATTCCTGTTCAAAAATGAAAACTTTTTTATTATTTGCAAATTCTCTCCTATTTTCTGTGGGGGGGGGGGGGGGGAGGGGCAAAATATTCCAAGACTCTAGCACTTTCTGTCTAGAATCCGTGAACGATTTTTTTTCTTAAATGAAATATAATACCGGCATTGAGCACATAAAAAATGCAGTGAACGTGGATTTAATTCATACCTATGCACAAATACTCTTTAACCAGACGACTAAAATTGAAGATAAATGTATGTATAAAAATGTTTTGTTATTTTTAAAACTTTTTTTTTTACATTTCTCCTAGTGTATTGTATTACTGACACTATGAATTAATTAAAGAGCTATCTAAGCGAAGAAAATTTTCAGCACCTTGTTGAACAATAATTCCAAGGTATAGGGATTACCAGGGTAAAAGAAATCAAGGGCTTTTTGTGAATAATAAAATATGTCCCAAGCTTTCACTAATTACTTCCATACTATTAGACTTCAATGCAATAACTAAAAATTTAGAATACTAATACATTAATAAAGGAAATAGAAACTTTTTTGGTAACCGTATAATTCACCAAACTTCCTGTTTAACCTTTATTGGAAAGAGGACACAAAATAATAATTGCCACTTTTTATTCAATTTTTTTATAACTTTTTTTTTTCGTGTTTTTTTTAAACCAAGTTCTTTTCTAGATACAGAAAAATCTAAATAAAGCATTATGTCTGTTATGTAGGGTAAAAAGTTATTATTTATAAATTTTCGTGAACTAATAAGTTACTTTTTAAACAAGAACTCGTTTTGGGCTACAATGTTGTTAAATTGTTATACAACAAAAACATGCTCAGTTTACAATAACAAATACAATCATTATTGAAAGAAAAAAAGAATAGGTAATTTTGTTCTAAACTTTCAACTTTTAATAGTAAAATTTGTGTTATAGATGCAAGTATTACATAGACTTTGTTTTTACACTGTGTCTGTAATATTAAAGCGACATTTAAGGGAAACACTAGCCATAGAATTGTTTAACCTATTCTTCTTTTGGGCTATATTATCTCAAATTTTCTACAATTTCATCAAAACAGTAACTACAATGCATTCCCAGAAACAGAAGCCATTTTTAAAAGTATTCCTACAATTAGTTTCCTTTCAATGAAAAACATGAGGTACAGTAAATTACATTAAATCAATGATGCAGCAGAAGATTCCATGAAAGTAATATACATATTTACGTTTCACACACACACGCACATACATGCATATAAATGATGGACGTTAATGTAACTTTTTATTAAATAAAAGCCATAGAAAGAAGAAAAGAGGTATAGCGCACGTTGTATACCAAATGGCCTACAATATAGCGCATTTACAAAAATCCAAAATATTTCAATATTTTATTATATCAAGTAACAAATGCAAACTATATCAGCACCTGGCAAAAATAAACATAGTTATCTCAAACAAGAAATTTACAGATTTGGAGACCTATTGAGTCAGCATTGAAAAAATAAAGATTTATGTATCTGAACCATCTTAAACCAGAGGGTTCCTGAATTTGTTACATTCTTTTGATACCACAGTATACTGTTATGTTAAAATCTTTTTGTTTTATCTTGGTCTTCATATTAAAAATCTACTACATATATATATTTTAGTTATTCTATTTTCCGAAAGACTCTAACACGGGGGGCTGTATATACACAAAAGGCACATATTATTCCATAGTGGGTGTACGCTGAGCTGTTTTCGTGTTTGGGGGTCTCCGGTTCGACCCCCCCCCCCCGTTCCAGATTTGTTTATTAATCATATTTATAAGTATATGTTTAATTCTTTCTTCTTTTTTTTTTTACATTAGCTAGTTAATTTTTAATCATCGTATTTTCCACATAATATACAAATCAGAAATAAACATATAGATATATTCATTATTATGTATATTTACTTAAGATACGGCAGTATTTCCCGAAAGGAATATAGTGATCTAGAGCTTTCATGAAAAAAAAAATCTTGAAAGCAGTAAAAAAAAAAGCTTTATACCTAATTATGTAAATTGTCTAACAAATAAAATATTTTAAAAATGTTTTATGATAATATTTAATTTGATTTTACGAAGAAATCTTTTAAATGATATACATATATTATAGAAACAGTTCCTCATATTCAATATGCACCGCCAAGTAAATCTATTGATAGTAATAGATTCTCCCCATTTAAACCTGGTAGCAGGTGAAACACCGGGAAAGGGCGCTACTTTAATATTCATGTAGAAATTCGAATTCTATATTGCAGGAAATGTTTGTACCAAAAAGATGGCAGATGTCGTCTTTCTGATGGATTCGTCTTTTAGTGTATGGGAGCAGGACTTCAAAATGCAACTTCAATTTGTTACAAGTGTTGTGGACAACTTCCAAATTGGAAACGACAGTGTTCAAGTTGGTGTCTTATCTTACAGCAGTGAAATAAAAACTAATTTCTTTTTGAATGAATACAGAGAAAAAGAAGACATGAAGGATGCTGTGGGCAAAATAGAGTATTTAGGTGTAGCTGGGACGGATACAGCCGGGGCTTTGAAATATGCCCGAGAGGTTATGTTTCACAAAAAACATGGCGGAAGGGCAACGGCCTCCAAAATTCTGATACTAATAACTGATGGAATGTCGCAGAACTCGAACGAAACTGTTAAACAGGCAGCTATTACGAAACAGGCTGGGATCAATATACTAGCTGTCGCCGTCGGTGCACCCATAATGAAGGAACTTGAGATGGTTGCAAGCAACCCTGCCACAGATTTTGTCTTTAATGTCACCGACTTCAACTCTTTACCCAGTATTGTGAATTCACTCGCAACAACGACATGCTTGGGTATATATTCAAATTTTCATGTTAAAATTGTTTAAAAAAATTATGGAGGTGTATTAGAAAGAAAGACATACTAGATTAATTTGATGGCAATCGATTTTGTTTTTGTAGTACATTGTTAACTCTTGTATTACTTTATACTCACAGTGCCAGATATACCACGAGATGGAGAATCAACAATAAATAGTTCAGAGATCGAGGAAAAAATTAAGAAATGTAAGAGAATATTTAGTACTTACAGAAAAAATTTCGCAGTGGATAAAAATATACACTGATACTTGTGGACAGGATCCCCCCTCCACCTAAATACACGCCCAATGCCATGGACTTTTCAGTTAAAACTTACAGTTTAAAGACATATTCATAATGTATGCCATCGACAAAATCCCAAACCCTCGACACAAAATATCCACGATAATACATAAGCAAGCCAAGTTTACAACTGACCCTGTTAGGTTATCGAACTAAATTGAACACTTATTTACTTCATGTCACTGATATGTGTCTCTTGATTCTTCTGTCTCTCACTGTCTCCATGAACAGATGTAACACATGCCATTAATTCTATGATTTGTATTCTTTTAATAAACAACATGCATACATGGCCCTATTATAGAAACACGAGCCCATGTGCAAACAATTCTTAAAACAATGATTTTTACAGGTTTCACAACAGTATGTTACTCGAGATTCACTTAAAAACCTCGGATTTGACCATTTCCGCATGAAACAAGAGCTTATATTTTTCCGAAGTGTAAAATAACGTTCAAGCTTTCTGATGAACCGAGAAGTCTTGTAGATTTTTTTTTTACATGCGGTATTTAAGGAGTGGGTGGTTACGTCCTACGAGTGACTTTCAAGCACCTTTTTGACTTTGTTGACAATAAACTAGCCTGTTCTCTTAGTGGCTATGAAAATGTTAAGAAAGCGTTGTTTTACAAGGTCTGAAAAAAATAGTTTGTTATTAATAAGTAACATCCATTTGAAATTGCTTATTTTATATAATTATGCACGTTTCGGAAGTTTTCCCAAATCAATGTGCATCGGAATAAAATGTGAACTATGAAAATGATAAATAGATTGCCGCACAAAAGTAGTCTTGTAGCTTGCATTGTACCGTAGCTTTACTTCGAAAGGCGATGGAGCTTGTATAGATGTTCGAATATAACAAGACGCTAAGTCACTTTATTGGCAAATTCAGAGATAGAAGCATCTATGAAAAAAATCATATTGGCATATATGCTAAGATAAGGTAAACATAAATTTAGTTTGATCCAGTCCACCAGTAGTGATATCGAGCATCTGTTTGCATCACATGATTCATCAAACAATTCTTTGTTCTAGATTGTGGAAACAAGCCGTCGGACATTCTTTTTGTAGTTGACAGTTCTAGCAGTATCTGGCCTCTGCATTTTCAGGATATATTGAATTTCATACAGAAAGTAATCGGTCTCTTTGACGTCAACGATGATAAGAACAGGATTGGGATTATTATATACTCTGATGAGGTCACTCCGGTGCTACATCTTGACAACCAGTTGAATTCAAACGAACTAAAAAAGAGAGTATCAAACATTCAACAATTGAAGGGAGGCACAGAAACAGGGAACGCACTTAAATATGCGAGAGAAAACGAATTTAAAGGAAAATACGAGAGAAAAACGGTAGCAAAGAAAGTGATCATATTGCTTACGGATGGACAGTCCATTAAACCTAAGGACACATTGGAAGAAGCAACACAGCTGAAAAATGAAAATATCACCGTTTTTGCTATAGGCATCGGTAACAGAACGGATAAAGAAGAATTAAAGGCGATTGCAACTAGTGCTCGCCATCAATACAGTCTACAAGATTACAATGCACTCTCCACTATTAAAAACATGCTTGTTGTAAAAACATGTACTGGTAAGTATTGTGTATATATCTCCTTTTCCTCGATAAACGAATTCCCCTCTTTTTTTTTTTTAAATGTGTAATCGGCAATATTTTCTTTTTTATAGTTCACTTTCAAGTTCAGGATCCTACCATTGAAGACAACACGGGAAGTGAAGGTAACATAGCTCATATCGTAAAAGTCTCGCATTTTTATCACTATGACATCAATTCTTATTAGCACTTTGAAATAAGTTTATTTTATTTACCATGCTGTTTTTAAAATCAATTTCATTTCAGAAACATGCTGGGACAGCGCTAGGGACGTTATGTTTGTATTTGATTCTCCAGTAATTGGAGCTCACAAGACCAAAATAATTCGAAAAGCTATTACCGAGATGTTCAAACTTATGCAAATAGGTTCCAACAAGACAAAGGCTGGACTCCTATCTCATTACTGTCCGACAAATTTAGACACAAGTTTAGAAGAATTTCAAAATGAGCAATCTTTTCTGCTTGGTTTGAAACGTCATCCAAACGATGGATTAAAGAGATTACTTAGGATTCTACGGACGCGCGGTTTTCAACATAAAGATGACAAGCCTGTCAAAAAAGTGGGAATTATTTTTGTAGATAGAGAGGAGCACGATTCTCATGGCATCATCGAAGAAGCGCGGCGAACAGCGTTGAATAGCAGACTTTTTGTAATTACCATCGGCAATCGCGTGCCTTCCCATACAGTAGAATCTCTGTGCAGTGATTTTAAGCATCGGTGTGTTTTCCATATTTCTCAGTATAACTCCTTGATCCAATACGTTCCTGACATTATGGACATGGTTTGCTATTCATGAACTTTTTGATGAATTGTCTTCATTAATTATACGTTAGATATTTTTTCTCAGCTTTAGTTACTGGCTATACCAATATTTATAATCATACTGCAACTACCTCTTCTTTTACAGTAACATTTTATGATAGTTAAAGCCTTCTGTACATCAAGTCTTCTATGCAACAAGACGATAAATAATTAATTGTAAAGCAGTTTTAGAAATTCTAACAGCTGAGTCTAGTCAATCACCAGTATATATAAATAAAGATTTCCCCTGTATTCATAGTGTATCCGTCCAGCGAGTATTATTGATAATATGGAATAAGATTTTATTCATTTTAGACTGCAATCTTCTTTTCTTGCTTGATGCATGAAATATCTGTACAATGTGCATATGTTTTTATCTTGTGGTGCTATGTAACATAAACATTTCATTACTGTAAATGTTATTTCATGATTTTACATTTCATTTCGTCTCCCAATCAGTTCTCAGTATTGTAATTCCTAGAATTAATTTAGTTTTTTAATATACATTTATAATACTTTTGATGATTTTTTGCATTAAAAACTTTGTTTCCATATTACTGTTCCATTTTTATCATTTTTGTTCGCATTTGTTAATAAAGAAACACAACAGCAATCATTTGATCTTCTGTCGGTCTATTTTAGTGTTGTTCATTTTTTTTTTTAGCTCACATGAGCTGAAAGCTTAAGTGAGCCTTTCTGATCGGCGTCTGTCTGTATTTTTTACTATTTTTTACCTTCAATATTTCTAGTCCTTGGATACCTTGAAGATTTTCTCAGTCCCATCGAGTTCGGGGTAACGAGGTTTGAATGTATGCAAGTTTCCAGACATAGTTTAGATTCCAAATTATTCAAATGATTGCCCCCGGGGCCACACTAGGAGATCAAATCAAAGTTGTTCATTGGAATACATATGAGACATCTTTAAAATTCTTCTTCTCAAGCACTTAAGAGAGCATGTCAGTAAGCATTGAGCTTTCTATGGAAAGTCAAAAATCTGATTTTTTTTTTAAATAGTGTGTATGGATTATTTCTGTCACAAATAACAAGAAAAATACAAAATTAATGATTTCAACCATAATCACTGAGTCGTATCCAAGGAAATACATTTCCTTAGTTACCAGAACAATTTTTCACATTCAAAACGGGCAAATACTGACATAATTAAATGTATTTTTCACGCAAATGTTCTCAAAAGATGGTTTAAAACTACCCATTTTATAAAGATGAATAAATTGATAGTTCTACTTTGCCTGATTAAATTGGATTAAGTTCTTCTGTTACATTGCTATGGCAATGGGAAAACGCGACAAGTTTAGCATTGAAAAAATAACTGAATTTAAAACATTTTAAAAAGGCATTTGACAAAAATCCGTACAACTGCTTATAAACTCTATAATGAAATTTTGCAACTTTGAGTATACAACAAAATTTAAAAATAAAATTGGGTAGACTTTCAAAAACATTGTTGCCATGGAGATTCAAAAATATGCAAATTTGGGCATTTTTAGATGATTTCCTGTTAACAATTCAGATTACTAGAAGTAATTTGTCGTTTCAGAAACAAGATATCCTTATTCCACATGGATGCAGTTGTTACAGAAAATGAGTCATGCACTACTATGACCTTCTCCTCACTTTCACCTTTGACCCCAATGTCAATTTATCTTCCCCCAAGGTCAAATTTTTCTGCATTATATATTCTATGTCTAATAATTTCTTATCTAAATCTACATGGTTCTTGATATTTTGAACCTTGCTCAAATACTTCATACATTGATGCACAGGGTATACTGTTAGACAATTCAAGAAGATAAATTCATGCTCTACTGTTGACCTTGACCCCAATGGCAAGGTCAGTTAATTAATTGAGGTCAAAGTTAAAAATTTTATCTGTTATGACCTATTCTTGAAATACATGTATTTGAAACATGTGCTAAGTACTGCATCATGAACAACCTTTAGTCAACATTAAAATAATGATGCTTCCAACATCAATAATGATTAAAATGTCACTTGATGTTCCCTAAAATTTTCCTCCCCTGCACTATACAAAATTTTAGCCCCATTCATACCTATAGGTTGACAATCTGCGGGAAAAAACTAAAATCCAAATAACTTGGGAATCTTTGCAAATTAACTGATGTGATTTAGTTTGGTCTTGCTATTCTTGAAAAGAATATCTGATTATGTGTACATGTACATGAATTCTCATTTTGTCTCCATTTTAGCCTCATCTTAGCCCCTGGGACCACAATTAGTACACAATGACATCTGCACTACTCAAGAATTCCTTGCATAATATGACAAATCCCGGCTTCGCTGTTTTTATTTTTGCCTGTATACTGTATACTGTATACTTTGATTCCCTGTTGTGGTTTCACCCTAAACCCAATGGCTATTATTTGATATATCAGGAAGCTTTCACATCATCTTTTTCTTAAAATTTATGCAAATATAAATGACCCCCCCCCCATTTTTGGCTTTCCCTGATTATCTCCTCTTGGGAAGGAGCTCGGTCATTTATTTGAACAAACTTGAAATATGCCCCTTTACTAAAGGATATTCGGTGTCAAGCATGATCCAGTGGTATTTTCAGTAAATTTAAAGATGAAAATGCAGAAGTTTTTAAGATGATGAAAACAATAACACAAATTTTTTAACAGAAAAGCCCATTAAGTACATCTATAGTTAATGCCCATTTAAAAATTTCTCCTTCAGTAGTTCCATATATACATCACTGAAAGCAATTATAGGAGAAATCCAATGAAAAATCTATTTTATTTCCCCCTCTGCTTATATCATTCAACCTCTTAATTAACATCAGATTGAACTAAAGCCAATGTTTAGAGTTCAGCATCCCCCCTTTGTTTTTTAACAAATAAATTAAATGAATAAAATATAATTTGACCCTTTTGTAAAATCTTCAATTTTCTTTTTAAGGAGGAGGTTTCTTTAAAGTGCATGAATAATGCTTCAACTTTTGACAACTACTCCTTAAGAAATTAAATAAAATCAGAATGTTCTTCCAAGTCCCCAATTTTAACTTGGAAAATCTTAAGAACCAAAAATAGAATTTTAGTGGCTACTTATTCTTGCAAGTCCCATTTCCTAATAGCTCAAAAATACAAAAAGAATTTTCATAATTTTTCAAAAGTCATTATATTAAATCATTTAATATTCAGTTTATACACACATGAGGCTCAAAAACAATACAAAAAGTCCAAGCAAGTCCAAGTTTTGCCTGTGATTTGGGCACATATATGTATTAACTGTCTATATCATCCAAAAAAAATACATAACACATGCAATCCTCCATTCCTTCAGATTCAGTTCTGGGAACATGGTAAAACAAGATTAAACTTTAAGGTTTTACCAAAGGTCAACATGCTCAAAAATTTATTTTTACAACAACTCCAAAACTGTGTGAGGTGTAAAGTTAAAACTTTTACAGTTTATGAATATATCATTGATTAACAGATACAGAGTATCACTTCAAAACAAATATTTTAAAAAATATACTTTTTGAGAAAAAACAATTTCAAAAAATTTGCATATTTTAAAAATATGCACCTGCTTAATTCTGTACTTTTAGTGAAAACGATCATTGAAGAAATAATATATGTTTATCAATGAAGGGCAAGTTGGACGTGAATGGTTTCTGAAAGGCTATTATTGAAACCATGACATGTATAAAGACAAGTACCCTATAAAATCCGCCATTTGCAATGTACTTTCGGTTTCACATCTTAATATTTGGACAAAATAAACAGGGAAAACAACTTTCCAGAGTCTATCGAAGTCCAACTTGCCTTTCATTGATAAACATATATTGTTTCTGCAATGATGGCTTTCACTAAAAGTACGGAATTAATTAGGTGTATTTTTTAAAAAATATATGCATTTTTTAAAAAGAATTTTTCTCGTTAAATACTTTCTTTAAGTATTTGTTATCAAGTGATACTTTCTATCTGTTAATCAATGATATATTTATAAACTGTAAAAGTTTTAACTATATACCTCACATAGTTTTGGAGCTGTTGTAAAAATAAAATTTTGGGCATGTTGACCTTTGGTAAAACCTTAATAATGGTTCTGATCAAGATATATTCCTCCAGTGGCTTCTTTAAAGGAACAGGGTGTCATCTTCAACTATCTATAATAGCTGTAAAAATAACAAAAGTTATGTATTACTACTGAATAAGTGGTACAGTAGTAGATTAACACACATGTACATCCTATCTTCTGTAAAGGTTGCATTTAGAGTAGATTAACACACATGTACATCCTATCTTCTGTAAAGGTTGCATTTATGATATATGCATGTAATTTCCACCATGCTTGTCAATGTTAATAATTATATGTAGCATGAACCAATTACATATATGTAGACAAAGGAACAATTCAGATATATGAACAAGCTGCAAAATATATATAGGAGTTCTGGAGTAGGGGTGGGGTGGGGTCAATTTTCATAGACAAACATTACTTAATTCCTCCTTCATATGTATGACTTCTTTTGACCAAATAATGAGGAAATTGGTTTCCTGAAGATGGAGGGGTGGTATGATAGTTTTATGGATTACTTTATTATATACATTTCATAAACTTGGGAATTGTACCCAATAATTCATTTTTTTTTTATTCATAAGTTTTATTCTCACGTTTACATAATTATATTAACACTCAGACATATCAATTTATAAACTACCTACACATTTTCAATCATACTTCCTTTCATATAGATTCAACAGAATCCATTGTTTTCTGTAGAATAACTTTTCATTGTGTCAAGTTATTATTTCATCCAAAACTTTATAAGGTAAATAAATTTGATGCTATTTTTCAACATTGATTTGGTATCAGTACCATTCCCAATCCATTTGGCAATTGGTAGGAAAAAAACCTCATTTGATATATGTATATTGCATTGATTGTATGGAAGATGCAGGAGGAAAAAACAAAGTTTTAATTTTAATGTGAAATAATATAAACGCTGATTTATAAAAGAGGAAGGGGATGAGTTAGAATGACTTTTTTGTGCGGTTAGGGACTTTAGTCTTACCTGCAGTGTGACCCTATGACCTCTTTATACCATGTATACACTGTATATATTCACAAACATCATAGACATATCTCTAATTATTTTAAATATCATTATAGCATTTATCTAGTCTTAATTGCATTAAGAGTAATATAACAACTGCAGAATTAAACATTAGTGGTCATATAACAGGTTGCTCACAAGCTGTAGGTACGTTACATCACTCATGCAGTCAGTGTTTGTATCACATCATGGGAAAGAGAATGAATCTTTGAGTACCTTCCTAATCTTTAATTTTGCTTTAAAAAGAGAAACTTATCAAAAGTTTTCCCAAAAATATACATGAAAAAACATATTCAACATACAAGTATCTGTTTTTGTCCAAATACTCCACGTTGGAAGTTTTCCCTTTTCTCCCGCAATTCCTCTATTGTTGTCTGTTTCATTCTTTCCGACCTCCTTTGATAGAGAGCTCTTGCAAGGGAGGTAATCCAATCGTTTTTCAACAGTGTTTTACAACATTTCATTCAGA